GTGGTTCTCTTTGCTTCTTGTGGAGTCTTCTACTGAGGCGGCGGCATGGCAGTGTTGGAGTGGAACAGTTGGACGGTTGGAGGAAAATTGTGGGAAACCTTTGCTACTAGGTTATGGATCGGGTCAAATGGGTTCCGGTTTGTAAATATTTATTATTTATTAATAATAATAACAATAATAATAGTATAAAAAGGACGGGACGAAAATGATTATCGACACAAACTACTAAAAAGAACTTAGAACAAAAAAGACAGCACAGACTAAGCTGAAACAAACACAAACACTGGGATAAATCTGAATAACATCAAAAAACTGATGCACCAAACCACTATAACACATCATTCTTTAATCTTCAATCGAGCTCATCAAACGCAGCATCAATGGACATAATATTGACTCTTCAATTATAAAATATTTCTCACAATGCTTACATGAAACCATTGAAATTTGAGAGGGAACAACGTTGAAGTTTCCTATAAAGAGGGCATGTTGCGGCAGCAAAGGAGGAACAAAGCCTGTATACTGTCCTTAAATTTGCAAAACAATAGAAAAAGCAAAAATACCATACCATGTTGTCCAAGCACCATCCACAAACAGACAAAAATTAGACTTCCCATCCAGACACCCATGACTCCACGAGAAGAGACCCACATCAAATAAACCAGCTGCAATAGATACCACGAAGATAACTGCATGCGCCAAAAACTGCTGCCCATGTTCCACTAACGATATAATGTTCTGACTCAAACGCCTTGAAACTAAAGCTCCCCCATACCATAATTCTCGAAATCAATATATGTTGCATATGCCTCTACGAATCCAGAAGCTACCGCCATAACAATGGCGACTGCAAACCATGCATCGCCATCGACCACGGATCCAACAATGAGAGTACAAACCACTCAACAATGTTGTTCTTGAATCACTGCCTTACGAAGCAGAAAAACCATCACCCTCTGCCTCACCCACACAAAATAATGCCGCCTCATCAATATCTATCACCGACCTACCATAAAAGATCTCCCTTGCAGAAATACCTCGATCGGCCGTACCCATTCTATAAGTTAGACACAACTATCGCCACCACCAATCGATAGCACATGATCAAACCCAGCAGAACACCAAGACAAGAGACATAAAACACCCACCAATGTACATACCACTGGTCCACCACCACCAACCAACCAGAAAACGGAGAAATGAAAAAACCCAGAAAACGGCTTGGCAACCGATAAAACTCAAGCAACAAAAAACCAGAAAAACAATAAAAATAACCTACTAAAAACCTAACACTAAAAAACTAAAGAACAAAACTACTCCAGCTCCCCTTAAAACCACAAAACCTCAAGAGTCAAGACCAAAGCCAAAAACCCTCCACAACCCCTAGTAGACACTCACCAAAACTCAATCAAATCTTGGGATACTAGATCTTTGAGCACAACACTCGCAGAACCAATAGCATTGACGAAAGCAACCCTAGAGCATACTCGACTTCTCTTCATAGGAAAGCACATACATAGAACCTCACCATCGACCCACGATCTGCCAAAAGCCTACCCAAAGAAAAGAGTTTGGGATAAAATCCCCAAACAATGAAGCAGATAACGATAGAAGACCTTAAATACTCTCACACGTACTTTAAATTGCAATCAAGCAAGAGATTGATTCACTATGGCATTTGCACAAACAGCTTGTAAGCAGTGTTAACAAACCTAAACTGACTCCCGAAACTGACAAGAAACCCACATAGAACCAAAGCTTTGAAACAAATATCATAAGCAAACCAAATCTCAAGCTTGAACACGCAATCACTAGGAACAGGAATAAACTCTCTACAAGAGGAGAAATAAATAAACTCATCAAGCAAGAAAAGGACACCCAAACAGTCAAGAAGCAAAACTAGGGGGCGAAAGCCAAAACGAACCCTAATCCCCAAAAACACCAGAGCTTGACCGATCAAACCCTTGTTCAAAATCATAAAAAATAAATCAACGTTACTGTGTTGGGCTTTGGAGATCTTGAAAGAATCGATCGCAAGAGAGCATGAACAATAAGGACGTAGGCGATGGAGGCGGCGACCACCTCACAAAAGAGGCAGCCACCGCCTCCTTGCAGCTTTAAGAGAAGGGGGTTTTATTTTCTAAATTTATTGGCAAATTTGTACAAAAATCTAAAAATGGAAAGATAAGAGAACTATATATGGATGCACTTAAAAGCTTCGTATTTGATTCCTCACTTGATTATTCATTTTCTCATTTTCTTTCCGAAAGTGTTATCTTTAAGACCCGGTCTAATGCATTAACTTCTCTTATTCATGAATGAAGTCCACCACCACCATTTTGGCCGCATCTCGAATTGTGTGGCTGGGGAGAGAAGGGGGTTCTTCCACATTTCAGTTGGTAAAAGTAGTCAAATAAACAAGAACACAAAAAGACAATGATACAAATGCAAATCGGGTATCCACGTCCAATACGAGGGTCCAAAGTAGGAAAAATCAACAAGATATCATACAAGCGTCATCTTTATCAGTCGTGATGATGTCAAATCAACCCTTAGAAAATGATAAATAAAAAAGACCAAATAACTGAAAAACATGCAAAAAAAAAAATAAAACATGCCATAAAGGTAGATGAAAACGTGTCATACCGGCAGACTTATTAAAAAAATAGAGATACGATATAAAAAAAAGAAAATAAAGAATACCGACAATTGGTAACCAACATTAAAGTTGGTGTCGCCGTCAAGCAACAAAGACATAAAAGAACAGAAATGAGTGACACGCCAATAAAAAAAACTAAAAGGTTTTTTTAATATACGAATTCAAACAAATATTCATAAAATTTTATAAATTATTATAACTAAATTTATCAACATATGACAATTTAATATTAAAATTTATCATTATCTTATAATATATACTAATTATTTTATAATAATTTAATAAAATTAATAATTATTTTATAACTTTTAAATTTAAATAATTAAAAATCTTTTCAATATAATTTAGTAGTCATTTGCATATTAGTAATTTTTAAATGATAAAATATTCTTATTTGATTTTTTTTAAGTATGACGTATCATCTATCGTTAAATTTTTAATGATATTAAAATTAATTTATATTTTTAAAACTAAATAATTATTTATAATTAAATGGTCTGAAATATTTTATAACTAAAAAGATTATTTACATATTTTATCAAAATTGTAATACTAATATCTAATCTTTAAGAAAATAATTGTGTCCTAGAACCCATCCCCAATCCACGTTATGCTATTTCAAATAAATAATCATTTTTGGTCATTTCTTCACCTAAGTTTATTAAGTCCTCCGGCCCTCATCTCTACTCTAGAGCATCTCTCTCTCTATTATAGAGATGAAACAATAATTCATCTCTAACGCTATCTCTACATTACTATTAACTCTACTTTATTCACAATATTTAACTATTATAATATTAATTTTGTAAATTTAAAAAAATCAAAAAAAATATAAAAAATCAGAAAAATTACAAAAAAAATTAGTATGATTATTTATTTAATTTTAATGTATTTTTATTTATCTTATAATTTAATTAAACAAATAGATTTTTGTAGCGTTGCTACAGTAACATGCTACATGTAACGTTGTTGTTTCATGAAACTTCAAAGTGGAGTTGAGTTTGACGCAGCGTTAGAGTGCTCTACTGTAGAAATATGCGCCACAGTAGAACATCGTTGGAGATGCTCTAACCTATTATTTGATATTTTCTTTTACGCTCATCGATATCTGTGTCAGTCTGGAAATTAAGCAAACGTGCCGTAGGAATGCATTGCGATTAACTGATGAAGCTAAGAAAAGAGGTTAGTCCTGTGGATTACAAAGTATGTTTAATTAATTTACTGATTAATGGATAAATAAAGGATATAAAATAATGATTGAATGTTTTGTGAGTACGTATACTTGTACTAATAAATTATTCGAATTTTCATAAAAAATAAATTATAATTAAATTAATATTATTAAATAAAACTCATTTTTAAATATTAAATTTCAAAATAAATGTAAATTTTTTATTATTTGAATTTGATTTGTCTTGATTAAAGCTCTAACTACACTTAAGAGTCTCACCTAGAAGTGCTTAACGAGTTGAGCAGCTCAAATTCGACTCGGATAAAATTCGATAAACGCTCAACTCAAGTTGGCTCGACTCGAACTCGACTCAAGACTTTAACGAGCTTAGTTGAGCAAAGTCTAACTCGACTCGATAAGTTCGCGAGCAGCTCGTTAATTTTTTTAAATATATTTTTAGTAATTACTTCAAAATTATTTCATTCAAAAAATAAATCTAAATAATAATTATTAATTTATTAATATATAATAAAAAATTTAATAAATAATAAAATATTATTAATTAATAATATTATTTTAATACAAAAAAATCCTACCTTAATATCCTCATATAATATTAATAAATTTTATTTTTAAGTTAAAAAATAAGGTAAATTTTTTAGTAAACTTAACGATTAACGAGTTAAGTTGAATAATAATTTTTTTTAACGAGCACGAGTCGAACATAATTTTAACGAATAATGAGTCGAATCGAATAATAAATTCTTTTAAGAAACACAAATCAAATAATGTCACACCTTGATATGTGGCCATTGTAATTCGACCGTCCATTTTTAGTGAGAAAATCACAGTAACCCCACCGACAGGAACTTTATTATATTTCATCATTGTTTTTTCTTGTTTTCATTATAAAAAAGAAAGCTGCCCATTCCTCATTAATGCAACTTCTTTTCTGGAAGAAAAAAAAAAAACAGCAACCGAAACACAAGAAAAAGAATAAATATTTTAAACTGAAGAAAAGAAGCTAAAAATGGGAGAGAACATTAACCATATCATGTTTCGCTATATTAAGAACAATAATAATTTTAATAATAATTTTATTAACTTGTTTTTACATAACAATTGTAATTATAATACTGAGGACATTTCGATCATCTCCTTCATATGATATATCCAATCTTCTTCATCAAATTCCGCTTCATTCTTCTTTGTTTCCTCCGTTTCTGGTATGGCCAACTTTGGTGGTCCAACTGAGAACCCACGGCGTTTCTCACGGTCAGAGGCACGGCCTGGTGGTGGAGCTATGACGCAAGGGATGATCTTGAGCGTTGGTTCTATCGTCGGAGCTGCTGGCGATGATGGTACTACTTATGATTGTGAATGCGAACGTGAGGTGAGTATCTGGTTTAGCGGTTTCATCGATTCCTTTTGCTGAGAAAATGTTGAAGGAAAGGTGGAAATTTGGGTCATTTTGGTTTAGGAAGCTAAGATCTTAACAAGTATAGTTACATGCAGCAATTAAAATTTGATTACATGAATTAAACATTAATGAACATTCAAAGATTAATTCTTAATGTTATTAACTCTTGCAAAATTTTCTATTTTAATGGGTTTTTCTGTCCACTTTACAATTTAAATTGAACAAAGATTCAAATTTTTGTTCTTGATAGTTTGAAACTTGTCATGAGCAGGATGGTCTTGAAGCATTGGTTGAGACACCACCAAAGCCAGCAGCACCATCTCGTAGTTCCTCAAAAAGAAACAGAGCCGCCGAGGTTCATAATTTCTCTGAAAAGGCTAGTAGTTTTGTCCAGTGTTTTTTACATTAAATCTATAATGAATAATGGGACATCACCATTGATTTGTTCTGATTTTCTTGCAAGATACAGAGGAGAAGGAGCAAGATTAATGAGAAAATGAAAGCATTGCAAAAACTGGTTCCAAATTCTAACAAGGTATTCATTTTCTAGTTATTATGTATTTATATGAATTTGAGACATTCATGTAATAATGATCGTATACTTCATGCTTTCTCATATTACTTTGTGTTCTACCTTGTCGCATTACTAATTCTGGTAATATAATGAGGGATTGGCAGACAGATAAGGCTTCGATGCTTGATGAAGTTATTGAGTACTTGAAGAACCTTCAGCTTCAAGTTCGGGTATGTCGAACAATTTTACAGCTTCCTTTTTCTTTCTGGGTGAATCCACTGTCTAAATTAATGAGGATTTCGAAGATGTCGAAAGAAAATAAAGCATTCCAAAGCTCACTTACAAGTTCATAAGCTATTCATTGGTTTTATTTTACTATAATTTCAATCAAGAACACTGTGGACTTCATTTCTATTTGCTGCTGGATGTTTGTTTTGTAACCTTAATCTATTTATTGTCTATGTATAATTGCTAATGAAAAGTGAAAATATGGCGAGTGGTAACCATGACAGTAGACAGATTTCGGGAAAAAAAGTTCAGTTTCTGATTTATTTGTCATGTATTCTATATCAGATGCTCTCAATGAGAAATGGATTAAGCCTGCATCCCATGTACTTGCCTGGAGTTTTGCAACCACTCCAGTTTTCCCAAACAGGAATAGATTTCAGTGACGAAAACTGTTATCGGCCCATGAATGCGTCAGGCCTGATGCAGGCAAATCAAGAAACCTCGCTGCCGATAGTTTTTGATATGCCCCCGGAATCCGTACTCAACCCGTCGAACATAGTTTCTTCAAATTCATCATCAGGATTGGAATCGATCCAAGGCCAGTTCGAGCCATTTCAGCTCTTTTCGTCATCTCAGCCTCTCAGGTAAGACATATGAACAACAATGCATAAAAACTTTGGGGGGGGGGGGTTCTTACCATTGCAGGACCACAAAAGCTTAGAATCTTACAACAGCAAAGCAGCAATTACTGTCAGGTTTCTGTCTCTTGTGTTTCTTACAACAAGGTCTTGACTCTAGAAATACCCGTTAAAACATCCATAGCAGAACCCAACAGTGGACATTACTGGCAATATTGGTATGGTGCCTTGCTGGAAATTTCTCCACTAGTAGTCGCCAAGTTGGACGCTCTCATCTCATCGTGACACGATAACATATAAACGTCAAATTTTCTTATCTATTTTTCTATGATAGCTTTGCTTGGACTTTCCGCCTACCAACCTTTTTCGATGTTTTATGAAGAAAATTTGCAAAGGGAATTTAGTAATATATAAGAAACAAATAGTACGGTTAGAATTATTTTTCTATCTTTGCTTTTGAAGACCATCAAAAACTAAAAGTTATTATCATACATATAACAGGAAAAGTACGGTTAGATGGATCTCCAATGTAAAAACCATTAGGCGAGTTGATTTATATGTCGAGAGTAAGATTTGAACAAATTTTCAATATTATTCATCCAGTTATCTTCCAAAAACAACCCATGTACATATATTTATACAAGCAAACTATCAGCTATTTCTACATAATTCAACTAACAAACTAATAACTGCATTCTAATAACAAACTAACTAATCCATAGTTACGGCACTCTCCCTCAAGTTGGAGGGTAAAAAATGTCTTTTACCCCCAACTTGGACAACAAGCATTCATGTTGCGTGATTCCCAGCTGCTTGGTTAAAATATCTTCTTGCTGCTCCTTCGTAGATACATACTCTGTTCTGACAAGCCAACTTTGAATTTTTTCCTTCACAAAGTGGCAATCAATCTCAATATGTTTAGTACGCTCACGAAAAATCGGGTTTGCTGCAATTTGAAGAGCTGTCTTACTGTCACAATAAATTGTTGCAGGTTGTGTGAATTTTACTCTTAGTTCATTTGCAAGCCCATGCAACCATGCAATTTCAGCTGCAGTTGCTGCTAGACTCCTATACTCAGCTTCAGCTGAGGATCTAGCCACTGTCCCTTCTTTTTTTTGCCTTCCAAGAGACCAACGAATCGCCCAATTTAACACAAAACGCAATGACATATTTCCTGGACATGGGACAAGTTGCTCAATCAGTCACTGTATACTACAAGTTCACACCTATTCGTGGCTGGCAACAAGATCCCTTGACCTGGGTTCTTTTTCAAATATCTCACCACACGCAGTGCTCCCTCCATATGTGTTTTCTTAGGCAGATGCATGAATTGACTCAAGCACTGAACATAATAAGCTATGTCCGGCCTTGTATTAGTTAGGTATATAAGTTTTCCAACTAATTTTTGAAAGGCTACCTTGTCCTCTAAGACATCATCGTTTACTTTCTCCAGTGAGGTCAAATCATACTCGGTAGATATCAATCTTGCATTCTACTCAAGTGGTGTTGAAGCCACCTTAGCTCCACCTAACCCAGTATCTCTTAATAAATTAAGGGTATATTTTCTTTGATTAACAATTATACCTGTCTTGATCTTAATACCTCAAGTCCCAAAAATTACTTCATTTTGATGCGGTAAATGCTTAAGTTCTCCGATCAACACTCCATCATTCTCCGTGAAAAGTAAACCATCCACATACACCAGCATTATTACTATCTTTCTGTTTATATCCTGCTGCCAACAATGCCTCTGACAGCTTCAAATTCCATTGTTTGGAAGCTTAGTTTAGCCCATACAATGACTTTTGTAGTCGACACACCATATTCTCCCCCTGAATACAAAAACCCTCTGGAAGTTGCATATAGACTTCTTCATACAAGTGCCCTTGAAGAAATGCATTAAAAAATGTTGTTCAAAGAAAAGGACTAGCAGTCGTCGGTTGCTTAAAAATTCAAAGGTGGACTGCCTAATTTTGTTGAAATTGTCAAAGGGATAATTACCAAATTGAGTCATTGAACTTTAGAGTATTTACAAGATTAGTCCTTAAGCTTCAACTATAAATACCATACCCCATTTAGCTTCAAAATCATCCCAAATCATTTCTTTCTCCCAATACTAAAGAGTTTAGAGAGTTCTCTTGTGAGTTGTGAGTGTTTTGTAAACACCTGCAAATTTTCTCTCTTTAGTAAAAGATCTGCAGCAGTCCGGAGACATAGGCATAATTGGCTGAACTTCGTTATCAATTTAAGGTATTATTTTCTGCTTTTATTTCGCATTCTCACTAATCTGGTTATAGGGAAATTACTCGTTTATTTCCCAACAACTGATAATCAGAGCTTTTGGTTGTGAATTTTGTCAATTTTTTTGCGAGGTTACTATTCATTACTATTCACGTGAATAGTAAATTTTGTGAATAGTAAAAATTTTGTCGGCGATACGAATTTGTCGACGGAGGTGTTCTAATACACGGTGGTTCGCAAGAATTGTCAGAAACGATCCAAACGAAGCCAAATTCGAGTGGGAGCGATGGCTGTAGACGAAGGGAAGGTGAAAATTGAAAAGTTCGATGGTGCGGACTTTGGCTTTTGGAAGAAGCAGATTGAAGATTTTCTGTACCAGAAAAATCTATATCAACCTCTCTCAGGAAAGCAACCAGAGGGCATGAAGAATGAAGACTGGGCTCTTCTTGACAGACAATCCCTCGGAGTTATCCGACTGACGTTATCCGCAATGTTACTTTCAACATAGCAAAGGAAAAAACCACGACGGGTCTTATGGTGGCTCTCTCCAGTATGTATGAGAAGTCATCAGCCTCAAACAAAGTTCACTTGATTAGGCGATTATTCAATTTGCGGATGGCTGAAGGGGCATCAGTGGCTCAACGCCTAAATGAACTTAACACAATCAGTAACCAGTTGAGTTCCGTGGAAATTGAATTCAATGATGAAGTTCGAGCTTTAATTCTCTTATCTTCTCTACCAGAAAGTTGGAATGCTACTGTTACAGCAGTCAACAGCTCATCGGGAAATAGCAAATTGAAATTCGACAATGTTCGGGATCTGGTATTGAGTGAAGAAATTCGACAGAGAGAATCGGGTGAAGCATCAACCTCCTCAGCCTTGCACACGGAGTCTAGAGGGAGAACTTCAGAAAGAAATTCAAATCGTGGCAGATCGAAATCCAGAAGGGGAAAATCAAGAACGAGAAAGAAAGATTTTACCTGTTATAATTGCGACAAGAAGGGTCACTTTAAAAGAGATTGCCGAGCACCGAAGAAAGATACTGGCGCATAGGAATCTGCCAATATGACAGTGGAGACAGGTGATGCCATGATTCTAAGCGTCAACAGTCCGATTGAATCATGGATCTTGGATTCAGGGGCATCTTTCCACTCCACCCCATGCCAAGAAATCATTGAGAACTATGTCAGTGGTGATTTTGGGAAGATTCATCTAGCTGATGATGAAACCTTGAAGATCGTCAGAAAATGAGACATCCGATTAAAGTTGCCAAACCAGACCACATGGAAGCTTAAATGAGTGAGACATATTCCTGGCCTCAAAAGAAATTTGATTTCTGTTGGACAGCTTGATGGAAAAGGATATAGTACAACCTTTTCAGGCTGTGAATGGAAGATTACCAAAGGAGCACTCGTCATTGCTCGTGGTAAGAAGACTGTTACTCTCTATGTAACCTCAAATTTAGAGAATATCATTGCAGTAGTAGATGCTGATGGAAAATCAAACCTATGACACCAAAGGCTTGGCCATATGAGCGAGAAAGGGATGAAGACACTTTTGTCAAAAGGGAAGCTGCCAGATCTAAAGAGTGTAGATGTCGGACTATGCGAGGATTGCATCTTTGGCAAACAAAAGAAAGTCAGTTTTGCAAAGATTGGCAAGACAGCCAAGGCAGAAAAGTTAGAGTTGGTTCATACTGATGTATGGGGACCATCTCCAGTTCCATCTCTTGCAGGCTTATTATATTATGTCACCTTCATCGATGATTCTTCAAGAAAGGTGTGGGTTTATTTTCTGAAGAAGAAATCAGAAGTCTTTGATACCTTCAGAAAATGGAAGGTCATGGTGGAAAATGAGACTGGTTTGAAAGTCAAGCGGTTGAGGTCTGATAATGAAGGAGAGTACAGAAATAGGAGATTCAGAGATTTCTGCGCAAATAATGGAATCAAGATGGAGACAACAGTTCTCATGACACCGCAACAGAATGACGTAGCAGAGCGCATGAACAGAACTCTGAATGAACGTGCCAGAAGTATGAGGATACATGTTGGCTTTCCTAAATTTCTATGGGCTGAAGCTATCAATACTGCAGCTTACATGATCAACCGTGGGCCCTCAGTTCCTTTAGATGGTGGAATACCAGAGAAAGTTTGGAGCAAGAAAGAAATAAACCTTTCACACTTAAGAGTGTTTAGTTGTATTTCTTATGTACATATAAATTCTGTTGAAAGAAGTAAACTTGACGCCAAGTCCAACAAATGTGTCTTTGTTGGTTGTGGTGGTGATGAGTTCGGTTACCGGTTTTGGGACTATGAAAATCGGAAGATCATCAGAAGCAGAGATGTCATTTTCAATGAAAATGTGATGTACAAAGACAAGTCAACCATAGAATCAAGTAGCTCCAATACCGAAGCTGAAACAAAAGAATTTGCTGAGTTTGAGAAGATTTCTGGAAATGATGTTCATATCAGTCCTGAAGCAGTTCAAGAAGAACCAGGCACACCGGAACTAATACGCTCCTCCAGAATTCCTAAACCAACCCAACGTTATTCGCCTTCTTTGCACTACTTGTTGTTGACTGACAATGGTGAACCAGAGTGCTATGATGAAGCAATGCAAGTGGAGGATTCAGTCAAGTAGGAGTCTTCCATGAAAGATGAGATGGACTCGCTTATGTCAAATCAGACGTGTGAATTAGCTGAATTACCACCAGGCAGTAAAGTGCTCCATAACAAGTGGATTTACAGGATCAAAGAAGAGCACGATAGGAGCAAACGGTACAAAGTAAGATTGGTTGTAAAAGGTTTTCAGTAAAAAGAATGTATTGACTACAATGAAATTTTCTCTCCAGTCTTGAAACTGTCAACAATCAGACTGGTGTTGAAAATTGTAGTTGCAGAGAATCTACATCTTGAGCAGTTAGA